GAAGCAGTGTGTTTCACGTTCTTCCTCTCTCTGACTTCCTGTATCCCCGTCTCATTTATGTTATGGCAGCACAAGGTAGTGGGGGAGCCAGAAGCCTTTTTTCCATGTCCTCACCTTCTGTCTACTGGCCAGGAACACTTGGGTTGGGCCGAAGTCTGATTAGGGGATCAGAAAACAGGTTACAGCGCAACCTGAGCAGGCCTCTGTCTGTGTCAACTTGTAATAACAGAAGTAACAACGTCCTTGCACATCGTAGGGGTTTAAGAGATGCTTGTTGGATCATAGAATGGCCCACAATGGAATGGAGGCTTCACCCCTTCTCTGTCACACTGGAGCAGCCAGAGAGCAATCAAGTACAAGTAGTGGCATCTAAGCCAGGGGTGGGGAACGTGGCTCTCAAGGTCACATGTGGCCTTTCAAGTCCTCGGGTGCAGCCTTTTGACTGAGTCCAAGTTTTGCAGAGCAAATCCTTTTATTAAGGGGATTTGTTATGGGAAGTTTGGAGTGAGTCACAGGGCAGCACTTGAGGACCTAGAGGGCCACATGTGGCCTCAAGGCCACAGCTTCCTCACCCCTGATCTAAGCAAATCCCAGGAGATCACTCAATCATGAAAATTTCCAGTTTGAATACAGTGATGTTATGGGACTTCCTCATTTAATATCGATGGTGTTATGGTATGGGGTATTGAGCAGAAAATAGGATTCCAGGAAACCCTGCTTTCACCTGGGTTATCTCAGTAAGGCAGTGGCTATAGTAGGTACCATGCTGCACCCACAGCCCAGAATGCCTGGGTTTAACTCCGACCTGTGAGATTTATTAGCTGGGTGACCCTGGGCAAGTCACCTGAACTCCCTGAGCCTTATCCTCCTTATCTGTGAAAAGGGCATAATAGCATTCTGATGGCAGAAAGTGAAGAAAAATTAAGAAGTCTCTTGATGAGGGTGAAAGAGGAGAGTGGAAAAGCTGGTTTGAAGCTTAACATCAAAAAAACCCAAAACTATGATCTTGGCAACTGGACCCTTTGCTTCCTGGCAAACAGATGGAGAAGAAATGGAAGCAGTGTCTGATTTTACATTCTTGGACTCAAAGATCATTGTAGACATGGACTGCAGCCATGAAATTAAAAGACGTTTGCTTGCTCCTTGGAAGGAAAGCTATGGCAAATCTGGGCAGCAGACTACAAAGCAGAGACATCACCTTGCCAACAAAGGTCTGTAGAGTCAAAGCTGTGGCCTTCCCAGTAGCAATGCAGCCTGTGAGAGCTGGACTATAGTCCAGGAAAAGGAAAGCTGAGAGCCACGGAATCAATGCTTTTGAATTGCACTGCTGGAGAAGACTTCTGAGAGTCCCTTGGACAGCCAGGAGATCAAATCAGTCAATGCTTAAAGAAATTAACTTTGACCATTGATTGGAAGGACAGATGCTGAAGCTGAAGCTTAAATATTTTGGTCATGTAATGAGAAAATGGGACTCATTGGAAAAGACTTGGATGCTGGGAAAGATTGAAGGTAAAAGGATAAGGGGAAGGCAGAGGATGAGATGGATAGAGAGTGTTGTGGAAACAACAAACATGAGCTTGGACAGATCCTTCAGTATCCCCCTGTATAAATGGGTCTAGGATCTAACCACTCTGGCCTTGTCCTTCTGGGAGATCTTTGCCAAGGTCTTCCCAGAAGCCCTCCAAAGAAGGTATACCCAAGGGGCTGGGGACCTTTCTCATGGGCTGAACTTAATCAGAGGAAAGGCAGTATTGCATACTGGATCTTCGAGTCAGGAAAACCTCTAGATACTGACATTAGCTGTGGTAATTACCATGTTATCACAATCTCCCAGTGCCCCTAGAGGAATCTCTAAGACTAGAAGTCACAGATGAGTTGCCACACTAAAGTTGCCCACACTAATATCACAGGTCTGGACTAAAGCAACAAGTGTCCAAAGACTGGTACATTCTGTCCATGTTGTAAGAGTTCGGAGGATGCAGAAATCACTGCGGGCTGGGGTGGTGGAAGAAAATGGAGGAAGAATGACTTGAGCAGAGTCTTAAAGACAGGAGAAGATTTAGAGGGGGCAGGGGAAAGAGAGGCATTCCAGGCAGAGGGAATGTCATGAGCAAAGGCCTGGTGGTGGAGATGTGCATGACCTATGAAGGAGATAGTGAGGAGATTGGTCTGACTGGAGCAGAAGGCTCATGTCAAAATGTAATAGAAAATATGTTGCTTGGGGGCAGCTAGGTGATGCAGTGGATAGAGCACTGGCCCTGGAGTCAGGAGGACCTGAGTTCAAATCTGGCCTCAGACACATAACACTTACTAGCTGTGTGACTCGAGGCAAGTCACTTAACCCTAATTGCCTCACAAAAAAAGAAAGAAAGAAAGAAAGAAAGAAAGAAAGAAAGAAAGAAAGAAAGAAAGAAAGAAAGAAAGAAAGAAAGAAAGGAAGAAAGAAAAAGAAAGAAAGAAAGAAAATATGTTGCTTGAAGGCCAGAATGTGGAGAAAACAAAACAATAGAATTACAATGATGTGCACATACACACAAACACACATACACTTTGGAAATAAACGTCCAGTAAACACTTTTTCATAGACAATTCCTGCTGTGTGGAGCAAGTACAATGCAACTCGGGTCAGATTCTAGACTAGAGGTATATAGATATAGATGTCAATATCAATATCGATGTGTGTATATATGCACATATGTATAGATGTAGGTATACAAAGACATGCATAGATACATAATGTATATGTGTCAATATTAATATATGTGTGCATACACACATATATACCTGCACACATATACATGTGTATATACATACATATATAGACACATGTGCATGTGTACACATATGTATGTGTACAGGGTGTCCCAAAAGTCTCAGTGTAGTTTTAAGCTTATATTCTTAGTAACCTTACATAGACTTTAGGGAGTCCATTAACTCAGATGGGGGAAAAATGACGCCTTTCTTTTCACTAACTTCTAACTGAAATCTAGCATTTCTTTCAGTTCTTTGAAAACCTGATTCTGAGCAAGGCTTCCTAGGCTTCCCTGGGCTTCCTTCCTGCCTGAGGGGTCCATATGACATAAATGAGGTGAAGAAGCTGTTAGGGGGATCAGGAAAAGTTTTATGCAGAAGCTAGTGCCTGAGCGTCATCTTCCAGGAGGAGAGAGACCGTTGGAGGTTGGAGGAGGTCACCTCTCAGGTGTGTGGCAGGTGGTAGTTGAATGGGGCTTGGAGGTCTGGATGCTTGGCATTCTAAGAGGTGGGGCTGAGGAGCAAGAGCCTTCCAGGTATGGCGGCCAGCTGGTGTGCCAAGGTGCCAGAGCTGGAGATAGAATAGTGAGTCTGACCTAGAACAAGAAGGCCATGATGCAGAGTAATAGGAAATAAGATTAGAAAGGTAGGTGGGAGGCAGGTTGTAGAAAACCGGAAATCACAGCAGCATCCATTTTAAGAGTTGAAGGGAATTTCAGGGACCATTTGGATTTCATCCTGCAATAGCAATAGGGAGTAACAGTAGATTTTCAGGAGGTAGTCAGTTCAAAATCAGTTCCTCAGCACCTACTACTATGTGTTAGGCAGTGGGATAGAAAACCAAAACCGAAATGGCCCTTATCTGCCCTCAGGGGGCTTCGACTCTCCCAGCAAGCTTGGCTATGTGCCATAGGCATCCAATTACTCCCTTCCCCACAGGCTCAGGCTGGTGACTGGCTGGGATTCACAAGGAGCCCAATGTCTAATTTCCAGTTTGCCCGGGGCATTCCAGGACTGCTGATCGATCATTTCCCCTCACCTTTGTTGCCACCTGGCTTCTCTTGCAGGACCCTTTGCCAGTGTTTGAACCTGACACATCGATCCTGCTGGGAAGGGACCTTACGGACTCCGAATTCAGCCGCCTCCTTTTACAGATGAAAACTGAAGCCAAGAGAGGGAAAGGGACTTGCTTTAGGTCACACAGCTTTTAAGGGGCAGAGGATGGATTCAAACTGACAGGTCTTCTGACCTGCTTCTTTCTACTACACTAAAAGGTGGGGCTGAGGAGCAAGAGCCTTCCTTGCAGTCTCCCCAGTCTCTCCAACTACCTGCTCCACACCCTTCTCCCTCCTTAGTCCACTACTGGAGCATGACCGGCCCTTTAGGAAACAAGCACCAATGTGCCTTCGTTGTCCATGGGCTGACAGCATCAACTGGGAGCTCCTGAGATAGAGAAAAAGGAAAAACTCAGGAAAAGGTCTCCTGATGGCAGTTCAGAGGCTGCCTTCTATTCCTAGCTCTCCAACTGAGTGAGCTGGCAATCCGTGGGCGTGCCTCTTCCTTCTCTTGGCATGCCTAGGACACAGGGCGTCAGGATTTGTAACCTACCTCCCACGGGTGACGAGGCTGAGCCAGCAAGGGCTGGCAACTTGAAATGACATTCATTTCTACCTTGGGGCTTCTGGCTCAGCCGCCAATAGCAGCAGCAAATATTTACTTCGAGCTTTCTGTCTTGGTGGATGGCACCGGTCTAGGCACCAAGGGTAGGTGGAGCTTTCCCTAGGCCAAACTAGAATACCAACCACTAGCATAGCTTGATGCTTGACCGTGCCCCACTCTGCCTTCTGCAGCCTCAGCAGGATAGCTCTCAGGGACCCCAAAGGGCAACTTTGGCGGAGTAATTCTCGTTCAGGTGTGTACAGGTTAGACGAGGCAGCCTCTGGGGTACCTTCCAGGCCTGTGAGCCTCTGGCCTGGCACCAGGGAAAAGGAGCGGTTTAGGGCCAGAGGAGCAGGATGCAGGGAGCATTGTAGACCAGAGCTGGTTCAGGGGCTGGCAGTGAGTAAGTAAGGGGTGTTGTATGGCAATTTTGCATCCCCCTTCCCCAGGGTCCTTTGCTGCTGAGGGGCTCTGGGGAGAAGTGAGAGGTTTGGGGCCCACTTCAGGGATTTGCACTCAGTGCGAGTTAGATCTGGGGATCTGGGTGGAGGTGCAGGGAGCCCATGGGTCAGCCATTCTTTGTTCTGCAGGTCGGTACTGACTGCCGTCAAGGAAGCGTGGGAAGCCAGTGGCCAGTGGCTGGGGAGGGCCTGGAAGCTGATGTGTGCACAGGAGATCCTACTGACCCTATCGAGGCCCTGGCAGTTCAACATTTCCAGCCATACTGAAGAAAGGAAGAGTGTGAAGCAGAGGCCAGCTGTGTCTGTTAGGGCCTGGGAACTAGGAACCCGGAAATGAGCCCAAAAAGACTAGGGAGCAGAAGTGCTGGGGAATTCGAAGGCCAGGGAAGGGGAAAGAGCAAGGAGGGGGGCCTGGGAGGAAAGGCTGGTAAGGTGCCTGCCACCCCTCCCCCATACAGCCCCATGCCAAGCCAAAGTGAGGGATACAGGACCAGACCCTGCCCCACAGGAATCCTAATTCTGATGAGATCTGTGAAACAAAAGCTGACCGAGCATTACTGCTGTGGAATTAGCTTCTGGTGTATTATAGTCTTTATTTTTTCTTACCAATTTGCTGCTGGAGCAACCAAGACACAGTCTATGGAGGATGAGCCTGGGGTGTGTGTGTGTGTGTGTGTGTGTGCGTGTGCGTGTGTGGTGCTGAGACAAAAGACCCAATTTAGCAGTCAGGAGACCTGGATTCAAATCCTGCCTCTGTCACATTGGGCAAGCCACTGTACCTTACTGAGGTAAACACAGGCATGTTTGGCGAGGAATAGATTAGATGGCCTTTAAGCTTCTTTCCAGTTCTAACTCAGTGATTTTAGCATTACCTCTCCAGCCTGGAAAGGCAAACTTGGGGTCTGCTTTCCCAGTCAGCATTTTTAAAGCACCTACTCTGTGCCAGGCACTGTGCTAATTGCTATGGGTACCCCTCAAGGAACCCCCATTCTTCTGATGGGGGAGATAACATGTAAAGAACTGGGGACGTGCAAGAAACAGACCATGTAAATAGAAGGCAGACTTGGAGAGGAAGGCACTAGCAGCCGAGGACACCAGGTATTTGATCCTGCTGGAAAGATGGAGCCCCTGGAGGTTACTGAGTAGGGGAGTGACTCGGCCAGACCAGTGGGCTTTAGGAAAATCACGTTGGCAGCCAAGTGGAAGCTGTAGAGTTGAAAACCTGATGGGCAGTAGGACCTAGGGAGCTCCCACCCAAGCTAAGGCGGAGCCACCTACTTAAGCACCATAGGGTGAGTAAGTGAGTCCCTAGGGTGTGAGCCCATGCGTGGGAAGCCGGTGAGGCTGGAGGACGCTCTGCCTTTACCAGCGAGTCAGCCCGTCTAGAGCGATGCTTCCTCCAGGGCTGGGGCGTCAGGGCCAGTGTGGGCACAGCTGCTTCGGGGGAGTGGCAGAAGCCACCCGCTGGCCTCTCTTTCCTCCCTTGCCTCGGAGCATCCCCCTGTCGAAGTGCCTTCCTATCCTGTAACAGGCAGGCAGGCTGCTTTGATTTGTCCCTGGCTAGTCCCACCCATTTCTCTCCTGTCCTCCTTCCCCTAGCACCCTTACTCCCAGCCTTTGCCTTGTGGTCACTGCTGGGGTCAGCCACCCAACACCTGTGCTGGAGGACCAGCTCCCTTGAGCTTATCGGAGCAACAGGCAAGGCACAGCCCAGGCACGGACACGGAGGTGGTGCTTTGCTTCTACCCTTGGGTGGAGGTTAGGAGCACACTGTTCTTTTGTTTGCTCCTTTCCGTGTCTCTTTGCCTGTTGTGTGTGTGTGTGTGCTTCCATCTCTCTCTCTCTCTCTCTCTCTCTCTCTCTCTCTCTCTCTCTTTCTCTCTCTCTCCCCCTCCCTCCCTCCTTCCTTCCCATACCCCACCTCTCTGTGTCTGTCTGTCTTCTCTATCTCTTCTCTTCCCCCCTGCCTAGCCCCACCTCCACCTCCCTGCATCTCTTCCTGTCCCTGTGTCTGTCTATCTCTCTGTCCCCGTGGCTTTGTGTCCCTCCCCTATCTCACTCACTCCTGTCTTGCTCTTTTTGTCTCTCTCCCCAGAGAGCTGATCCTGGGACCACCGTTCCTGTTTACCTGCCCCATCCCAGAGCTCAAGATCTTGAAGCCCCTCTTTCCGGCATCCCTGTACTCAGCCAGAACTCTGCACAGGACAGTCAAGGTTTGTCCAGGGACAGGAGAACCCAGGGAGCAGTCCCAGGTCACTGTGGAGCAAGCCAGCAATGGAAGAGATGAGCACGGTCTAGCAAGGCCCAGGATACTCAGGCATCTGCCGGTCACTCACCTGTCAAAGCCCAGTCCTCTTCTCCTACCCTTGGTCACCGCTCAAGGGTCACTAGGGTGGAGGCAAAAGCCTTGAACTTGAACTCCCCTGGGGGTCTCTGTGCTCTCTCTGGGCCACCTGCAAGAGGACCAGCCTTAGGAAGCTGGCTCATTCTACACGGTCCCAGAAGGAGGGAAGTCCCTGGGGAGTGGGGGCAGGTCTTTTCCAGTCCTCTGAGCACCCTGACTTGGGTGACCACTGGTTCTCTGGACAGCCCACACACCAGCGGCAAGTGCAGCACCCACCACCACGGCAGACCCAAACAAAAGCCATGTCCCCATCCCCTCCTTCCCCAAAACCAGCAAGGAGAGGAAGTCCCTCTTCCAGCTAATCAGTGTTCTCGGGTCGCCCTCAAGGTCCAAGAATGTCTCCTTCTCTGTTTCATCTCGGCAAGCAGCTGAACCCATGAAGCCCTCAGAGGACCACCTGAGGCCAGCCAGTAGCTTGGGCATCGACAGGATTTATGAAAGCAGAGACCATGTGGTTGTCCACCACCCAAACCCACAAGAGTCCATTATCCGAGGGCCCAATTCTCAATGCAAATTTCCATTTAGCATTCTCTTCTCCACATTCCTCTACTGTGGCGAGGCAGTGTCTGCTTTGTACATGGCTAATGTCTATCAAAAGAGCAATGACACTTACTGGATGACATACACTGTTGTCTTCTTCCTGGTTGCCTCCATCATGGACCAGTTGACCCTCATTTTCGTCCACAGGGATCTGGCCAAAGATAAGCCTTTCTTGCTGTTTATGCATCTCATCCTCATGGGACCAGTTGTCAGGTGAGTAACCAACCCTCTGTCCAACTGACTCATTGTAGTGACCTTCCCATAGACTGTAAACTCCTGGAGGGCAGGGAGGGCTTCTTGCATTTTCATCTTGACATCTTCCTTGAACCTAGCACAGTGCCTGCCTTGTGTGCCTCAAAGTAGGTATCAGACTTCTCACGCACTGGTGCTGAGAAGGAATAGCATTTGTTCCAGACTGGCACCATTTTCGCTCCCTCCCCCATCTAATAATAATAGCTGGCACCTGAAGTGTGCTTTCCACATATGTGTTATCTCTAGCAAGTGATCCACTGGGATAGGAGCTATGAGTATTCCTATTTTCAAAATGAGGAAATGGAAGCCACAAGAGATGAAATTATTTTCCAGTGTCACACATCTAGGAAGTATCTGAGGCTGTAGAGACACATGTGGGACCTTAAATCCAGTCCCTCTGGCATTTCTAAAGCATGTACATTCTGTCAGGTGCTATGCCAGGGGCGGCCCTCACAGACCTTCCACACCACTGAAATGTCACCAGGATGAGCTACTGTGCTACCCCTAAACCCCACTGGGTTTGGGATTGTTTTATTATCACTGGATGCTGTCTGTTATATGATCATGTGACCGAGAAAGCCGACATGGGAACCATCACATGCCTCTGCATGCATATATCCTTTGGTCCAGGGCTACAAGGCCTTGTGTCTTTTCTGTTTGATATCCAGAATTCCCATCCAATTGATGAACATTCCCCCAGCTCCCACCCCCACCTGCTTCCACTCCCATCTCCCAGATGGGCCACTTTGTCTGAAGCCGGACAGCTAGCAGTGAGCACCACTCTGCTCTTTCATGGCTGGTCCCTCCCCAGCCCCCAGATGTTGGAGGGACCCCCAGGAACCTTCCTGCCAGTTAGAAGCGGGCAGTGACTGCTACCTGTCTCCTTCCTCCTTCCGCACCTCTCCCAGGGCATGTTATAACAGGGTGATTTCATGATATCAAGAAAGCCTTTATTCAGGTGGATTTAAAGCTGGGAGGAACCTCAGAACCCTAGTCCAGCCTCCTAAAGAGGAAGGAGGGGTAACTTTTTCCAGATCACATAAGCAATAAAAAGCAGTCAGTTTGATCTGAACTCAGCCCCTCTGCCCCCGTGTCCCATCCCTGGCAGGGAGGCCTTTTTCTAGACAGGCAGGTTTGGAAGGAGCCAGAGCACCCCTAGTCTCATTGTTAAAGGCATCAGAGTAGGGAGACAAAGTAACACAGTGCCTGAGACCAGGAGAGTGGAATGCATCAGCTCGGGACTCCGCATGCCAACGGGTATGGCTTGAATGCCAGACAGAAAGCTGAAGAGAGATAAGGAATGTGGGTCAGAAGGAGGTGTGGCGCAGTTATGCAGGCAACATGGCTCAGCCTTGGAGAACCACCTCAGTGCGAGCTGACAGATCCCTTGAGTCCCAAGGGAAGTATTTTTGGAGAGAAAACTGTGGGCTAGGCGCTGTGTAGGAGCCAAAGAATAAGCCAGGCCTGCTGCCTTCACAGAGCTTATCTCTGCCGTGGTCGGTGATTGTCCTTCGTTCTTGAAGAGGGCCACAATGACAGCACTAGAGTCAAGATTCAGTGTGTCTGACTGTGGCTGATCAGACCAATATGAGCTCGGAATGTTCGACCACAGGTCAGGCACAACTAGCCCGTGTGGCCTGGTCTGGTAAGTGTACAATTCACTGTGCACAGCTTGGGGAAGATTCCGAGCTCAGAGACAGGCTCCCAAGTCAGCCCATCAAACCCTCTCATTTTGGAGGGCACCCTGGAAGGAGTTAGCCCAGGCTTCTTCACTTTGGCTGGGCCTTAAGGCTCTCATGCAGGCAGGCTGGCTCACTCGTGAAGCCTAGGGATTCCTTTTCAGAATACAGTTTTTCAATAATTGAAGGAAACGTGAACTCTCAGAGATGAGTGAAAATAAAGAAGTCATTTTCTCATCCAAATTCCTGGAGCCCCTGACAGCTCTCTCGGGAAGCCTGAGGTCCGTGGATCCCAGATTAAGAAGCCTTGTATTAGACAGACCGAGCTGAGGGGGGAAGAGCAGTTGAGAGAGGGTGTGCCAGGGGAAGGGAACAGGATAAGTGAGTAAAGGTTCAGAGGTGGGAGAGTATGTGGGCCATAACATAGAGTGTCCGTGGGAGATACAATGGCCAAAAACATCAGTTGGGGCCAAATTGTGGAGGACCCCAAATGCCACATTAAGGGGAACGAATTTTATTTGCTAGGTAATGAAGAGCCTTCTAAGGTTGGTCTATGTGTGGGGGAAGGAGCGAGGGCTTTTATATAATCAGAGGATTCTCCTTGACATCAGGAAAGACCTTCCTGGCAATGGGAGCTATCCCAAAGCAGAAGGGGTCACTGGGGGAATCCAAGCAGAAGCCAAGGGACCACTGATCAGGGATAGTATTGGGGGAAAGGGCTGGAGTAGCTACCTTCTGGGGTCCCTTCCACCTCCAAGAATCTGTGACTACTGCAAGAGATGTACTGGCCCTTTAATATTGAGAAGAAACAAGCAGAGTGGAGAAAGGAAGGGACAGGCAACACAGCATTGGTGATGGTACCTCCCCCACTTTCACTTTTGGCAGTCCCCACCCCCAAAGACAGCTTTGGTTCTGTTCCCATCATGCTTTGTTCCTGCAGATGTCTGGAGGCTTTGGTTAAGTATTTTGAAGTATGGCAGAAGGCCGATGAGGAGGAGCCCTATGTCAGCCTTACTCGAAAAAAGATGTTTCTAAATGGCCAGGAAGTGCTGCTCGAATGGGAGGTGGGCCACTCCATCCGAGTCTTGGCCATGCACCGGAACGCCTACAAACGCATGTCCCAGATCCAGGCTTTCTTGGGCTCAGTGCCCCAGCTGACCTACCAGCTCTATGTTACCTTGGTCTCCACCGAGATGCCCTTAGGGAGAGGTGAGTGGGAACAGGGGGAGGTCACCCATGGACTCAGCTAGCATGTGGGGCCCTGCTCAGGCATCTGCCCCACAAGGGTCTGCCCATCTTCTCCAGCTAGTGTGAGCAAGGCTTCTTCCCTGGTCACTCTGGGTCTTGTTTGCCCAGCAACGAGCCCTCTCTGCTTCCGGAAGCAGTCAGGCAGCAACTAGGAGGACAGGTTTGGGATGCTTTCCCCCTGTCCTAGGTCTTGTCTGAATTTTCATTGGGGAATCAGGCCGGGCTGGCTTTGGTATTTGAAAACCAGTTCTTCCGTCCTCCAGAAGGTAAAAAGCAAAGGCGGGGGGGAATGTGGGGGTGGGAGGTAGGTGGCCCAGGGCAAGAAGCCAAGAAAAAGAAGGCCTACATCCCAGTCCCAACTCTGTGATCTGGGAATGTGTCCTAACCAGTCACTGGCTCATTTTCCCACCTGGAAAATGGGGAGCATAAGATGATTAATAACCCCCAGCAGAAGCTGTGATAATATGAATGTCTGCTTGCCAAGCACAGTGTCATTTAGCACAAGGTTGGGCTAATCCTCAGTACAACTACAGGCAGCAGCTTGGGGGCAATAGGAAAAAGCAATTATCTGGATTCAAAGGAGCTGAGTTCAAATCTAGGCTCTGCTCTTTGGTTTTGGTTTTGGTTCTTGGTCTGGCCTTGTGCAGAGCCCTTCACCACTAGGGGCCTCACGTTCCTATCTCTAAAACAGAGGGGGGTGGGCTAGATAACCTGGGAGGTGCTGGGACTTTCCTTGTCCTCCTGGGACGTTCAGAAAGAAAATCTGACTCTTTTGAGTTTGCACGGCTCCGGTGAGTGGCCACTGTACATCCTGCATCCCAAAGAGCTCCATTGGCGTCTTCCTAGAGTGTTAGACCTTCACACAAACTTCCTCCTATACTTGCTTAATCACTATTGGGGGTGGGGGTTCTCTCCCTAAGCAGGGCAGAAAGTTCACATTCTCATGTAAGGCCTTGGTTCTTCAGGAAGCTGAAATATCTGAAAAAGACTGGGAGGCAAAGCCAAAGCCCACCTGCAAATGGGCATTGGTGCTAAAGCTTGCTGAGGGGCTGATGCCTAAGGCCTGGAGAGGATGCTTAGTTAAGACAGCCAATGAAGCTAGAACCTTAAGGAAAGATACATTTCCTTCTTACCTCAAGCTCTTTAAGGCTGCTTAGAGTAAGAAGAAAAGTCCTGACTCAGTCCTCACCTCCAGCATCAGCTACTGATATTGCTGTAGAGACATCTGGTATCTCCCCTGAGCCTCACAACACTGTCAGGGGTAGCTGCTGTTAGGATCATCGTCTTTTTACGGATGAGGAAACTGAGGCTCAGAGAGACAAAGAGACTTGCCCGGGGTCACCCAGCTAGTACGTTTTTGAGGCGGGATTCGAGGCTAGGGCTTCCTGATATCAAGTTCAGGACCTCATCAGTGTGGGTGCTCCTGCCATCGATATGGATCACAGCTTGTCTACACCTCAGAGCAAGTAGCAAACTCCTTCAAGTAACCGGCCCCCGCTTCATTTATGCTGTGAGTTGATGCTGCCTCTGTTTCTTCCCAGCCACCAATCCAGCCCAAGTAAGCAGGCAAGTTCTTCCCATGGATCCCTGCAGGGCCCCCCAGGTGGCCTCAGGTCACAGACGTTCCCCAAGTGCCAGGTGTCATCTTGTGTCTGATCTCTTACGCTACCACTCAAAGGCGCTGTTGGCCCTGGGCAGGGCTTCCCTCAGGCCATTGCTGGGACTTGTAGCTACTTCTTCTGCAGCTGATCTCTGGGGTCCCCTCTCATTTTCTCTTGGATACTCACTGCCCCTAGCTTCCTCTCTCTCAGATCAGAAACAAGTCATAGAATGTTAAAAATGTAACGACTCTCAGACCTCAGATAGTCTATACTCCCCCCCCTTATTTTACATGTGGGAAATGACTTGCTTTGAGTCACACATCATGTTAGTGGCAGAGGTGGGACTGGAATGTCCATCTCAAACTTCTGGCTCTAGGTGCTTACCACTAGAACACATTGACCCTGAAAGGAGGTCAAGGGGATGCTCAGTCACAGAACTGGAGGATTGGAAGGGAGCCAGCCAGTCCAATCTGTCTATGAAAAGGAGTCACCACAGTGACATGCCCAGCAAGAAATTGTCTAGCTCTAGCCTCTGCTCATCCCACCTTGAGACAGCTCTGTGACCCATATTTGTCTCTTTACACCTTGCCCCCACTGCTCTTGGGACTAAACAGAGCACTGGACCTGGATTCAGGAAGACCTGAGTTCAAATTCTGCCCTTCAAACACTTCCTAGCTGGGTGACACTGAGCCAGTCACTTCACTTCTGTCTCAGTTTCCCCATCTGTAAAATGGAGGTAATAACAACACCTACCTCCTAGGGTTGTTGTGAGGATTAAATGAGATCTTTGTAAAGTGCTTTGTAAAACTTTAAAGTGCTATGTAAATGTTAGTTATTGCTTGTTTATTATTACTGTTATAATTATAACCCCAAAAATCCCCATCCTTTTTGGATGTTTTTACATTTCCCTCACCTGCCACAGTCCATCTTGGGCTTTAGCTTTCCTGACCTCATTTTTACAAGATTGGGCAACACCCATATTCGTCCTGTGTTACTTGGCCTTCCTTCTGCCCATTTTCTATACTTTGGTATATTGAACTTGCTTGGCTGGTAAGTTCTCTGTGCATCCACACCAGTCTCTTCAGATAAGATCCCATTTTTCTGCCTCTTCGGGATTGTTTTCATTTGTGTCTTTAGAATTCCATCCTTGAGCTGAATAGTAGCAGCAGCAGCAGTTAACAGAAAGTCTCAGAGTGAGAAGGGAGCCCAGAGCTCCATCAGCTAGTCCAACCCCCATCTCAAGCAGGAATCCCTGAGAAACAACCATCCAGGCCCTGCATGAGTCCCATTAGGCATCTTCACTACTCCCCAGCACTGCTCCTTCCACGTTGGCTAATTGTCATTGTGAGAGCAGAGATAAGTGACTTGGCCAAAAGGGCAGAATTAAGCCCAGGCACCCTGCCTGAAAGCCCCACATGGCTTCTGCTGTTCTTCTCAAAACTTTGAGCTCTTCTTCACATTTTAGGATAAGAGCTGGAAGAGACCTTTGAGATCACTTGCGATCAGATCTGGGTAGCGCCCAGAATGGGGAAATGTCTTGCCTCAGATTACCCAGGTAGCAAGCAGCAACACCAGGATTTGAATCCAACTTCCCTTACTACACTTGCCCTCTCACTGTACTCTCTTTGTGATATGTTTTCCTAAGATTAAATGAGATTCTTATATAAGTATAACCAAGCATGATGGAATCACAGATTTCAAACTGGGAAGGACTAGCTTTGAGGAACAGTGCTGTCAAACTCAAATAGAAAAAGAGGCCATTAACCCATATGTAAGGATCCCTGCAGGCTGTATATTGACTTAAAAAACCAGACATGTTTATATTTCTCTTTTTATTAATATTAATTACACTCAAATCAGATAGGAAGTTTGTTTTAATTGGCTTGGAGCTACACTCGGCCACAAGCCATGTGTTTAACACTTCTGATCTAGGTTAATCTCATTTTTTAGATGAGAAAACTGAGGCTCAGAGGGTAAGTAACTTGTCCAAGGTCATATAACTACTAAGTGACAGAGGCTAGATTTGAACACAGACCTTCTGACTAGAGACCCAGCAGTTTTTCTTGGCTATTGTATACAAATGGCAGAACTGCTTTTTTGCAAAGGTATTATCTGAGCTTCTCCTCCTAATATGAGCTGGTTTTTGGTTCTCTCCCCAGTTGAGCTGTGAATGTCTCTTCCATTTCACTGTGCCATAGCTGCCTTCCTCTTGCCCCCTCATTTACCCTTGTCTTATATTAGTTGCCTTCTTTGTGTTAGTTTCAGGACACAATCACTTTTTTTATTATTTAAAACTATTTGTATTGATATATTTTGTTTTTACATCACCTTTATTTCCAAATATCACACTTTGAAATATCACCCTGCTCTTCCCTACCCAGACAGCCAGCCTTTGTAACAAAGAAAAATTAAGAAAGGGGGAAAAGAGGCAGTTCAAGAGAACTACTTTGTTCTGACAAGGTTCTTGTTCTGTCACTGTGTGTAATACATGCAATATTCCGTACTCATAGTTTCCCACTTTTACAAAAAGAGATCAAAGTGCATTTTCTCAGCTCTTCTTCAGACTTAGTCATTGTAATTAAATAGCATTCAGTTTCTTGTTCTTTGCATTTACATTGTTGTAGTCAGCACACATGCATATTATTTTCTTGGCTCTACTCACTTTGTATCACTTCATATAAGTCTTCCCATGCTTCTTTGAATTCTTCAGATCCATCATTTAATATGACTCAATAATGTTCAATTACATGTGTGTACGAAAATTTGTTCAGCCATTCCCCAAGTGATGGGCAGCTACTCTGTTTCCATGTCTTTGCTATTACAAAAAGTGTTTTCATTTATTGTTTGATGTATATGGGATCTTTCTTTCTGTGATTGACCTCCTTGGGGTATGTAATAATAGCTAGCATTTATGTAGTGCTTTAAGATTTATGAAACACTTTGAATATGTTAAGTCATTTGATCCTCACATTGGTCCTGTGATGTAGGAGGCCTAATTAGCCCCATTTTATAAATGAGGAAACTGAGCACTGAGAGAACAGGTTCACTCATCTACCAGATGAGTGTATGAGGCAGGCTCAGAACCCTGGGGCTTCTGATCCCAAACCCCATACTCTATCCACCGTACCACCAAGCTGCTCTAATATACTTAGCAATGTGATCTCTTGGTCGAAGTGTATGGACATTTTGAATCCATATGCTTTTTTAGACATCCTTTTCAGAATAATTCCAAATTGCTTTCCAGCTTGTTTGGATCAGTTTGCCACTCCATGAGCAGTGTATCAGGGTACCTGTCTTTTGTCAGCCCTTCCAACATTGACCATTTCTGTTCTTTAGCATCTTTATGAATTGGTTGGGTGTGAAATGAAGCCCTAGAGCTATTTTGACTTACCATTTCTCTAGCTAGAAGGGACCCGAAGTTGAATCCACAAAAAAGGAGACTTGGGAGCACCAGGAAGTGAATTTAGGTGAGGGACAATTAAGGGACCGAGTGTAGGCAGTTGGTAGCAAATGGAACTGGGCACACGGAATGGGTTGCTTCAAGGGCGAAAATGTTCCCGACTCTTAACATTTGAGCCTCGTTTAAGTTTTTGGACCACTGAGTCATAGGGATTGATTATAGGATCATAAGATCTTGGATCCAGACCTGAAGGGGACTTTAGAGGTTATCTAATGCAATCTCTTCATTTTATAGAAGAGAAAACTGAGGCCCAGAGATGGGAAATTATTTGCCTAAGATCATACAGCTAGTAAGTAGCACAGCTGGGGTTTAAACCCAGGTTCTTTGACTCCACATCTAGGATCATTTCCACTACACCAAGCTACCTCTTGTGCATGATCTGACACCTCCCCCTTCCTGTATATCTTCCTGCAGTGATCCTGATAATCTTTGCCCTGATCTCTGTCACCTATGGGGCTACCCTCTGCAACATGCTGGCCATCCAGATCAAGTATGATGACTACAAGGTCGATGTACATGTCACGGAGGTCATCTGTGTCACCATCTGGAGGAGCTTGGAGATCACCTCCCGCCTGATTATTCTGGTGCTTTTTGTGGCCACCTTGAAAATTAAGGCGTTGCCCTTCTTTCTGATTAATTTCATAATCATCCTCTTTGAGCCATGGGTCAGGTTCTGGAAGAGTGGTGCCCAGATGCCCAACAATATTGAGAAGAACTTTAGCCGCGTGGGCACCTTGGTGGTGCTCATCTCGATCACCGTGCTCTACTCGGCCATCAACTTCTCCTGCTGGCCAGCGATGCAGTTGAGGTTGGCCGAGCGGGACCTGGTGGAAAAAACTCAGAACTGGAGTCACATGGCTGTGCACTATACTGTGAGGCTGCTGGAGAACATCAGCATGGTGCTGGTGTTCCGCTTTCTGGGGACCAAGATCTTGATCAATTACTGCCACACCTTCGTCGCCGTGCAGCTCATTGTGGCCTACCTGATCTCCATTGCCTTCATGCTGCTCTTCTATCAGTACCTGCACCCGCTTCGCTCACTCTTTTCCTACAATGTAGTCGATTACCTGCACTGTGTCTGTTGCCCCTGGGCCTCCCGGGCCAGGTCACGGAATCTAGAGTCAACCAGTCAGTTGAGGCACAGCATCGTCTGATGCTTCCCCAACTGGGTCTTTGGGGAGGGGGGGGGATTGCCAAGAGGAAATCTACAACTCAAAGTATGAGGATGATCCACCTAGAAAAGCAGTCACCTGACCATTGGGGTAGGAGTCTGGGCCCTCAAGCTGTGAGAAGCTCCCAGTTCACAGGGTCCAGACCACAGAAGAAGGGCTATACCTAGCTCTCATCTCCCCCCCCATATACCCACACACATGTCCCCTCGAGAGTGTACATACATATACCCACACCCGCACACATACCACTGGGAGCCATCTGGAACCTCCCAGCACAGATGGGATGACTATGCTTCCAGGGCTGAGCTGCTACACTATATTTTAGTGACCAGTGAAGGCCCATCATTAGCAAAAGCCCATAAGGAACCACCTACCCTAGAGCTGACAAGCTTCAGGAGAAGGGTCCCAGGACCCGCAGATTTTTCCTGAGCAGTCCAGGAGAGTCTGTCCTCTGCCACACCCAGTTTGACTTGTGGCCCTTCAGGCCTAAGCTATCCTCTCAGCATATCCTCCACAGGACTTTCCTTCATGGGCCACCTATTGCCCCCCCCCACCCCAATCATCATAAATCCCTCCAAGCCAGCTTTTACTCTCACAACCCAGCTGTTTTCTTAGTGTCTGATTATAAATTATGTTTCAACAATGCTGACCTGTGACTGAAAATGTTTTTACTGTGACCCCCCAACTTTGTTTCTAGATACTGTCACTTAACTTATTTATTTCAGGGGTAGAGGGGGATATGCTTGGGACAACTTCTTCCTGGCAGTTGGGGAAGGGGAGGAGTTGCCACTCCAAGGGGGCTAGATATTAATCAAGTCAATCTCAATGACTAAATCCCATCTGAGTAGACAGAAAAGAGATGAGCCTCATCCCAAATGTACAGAATCAGAGAGTCTGAAGGGACTGCAAACCATCTAGTCCAACCCATACTTGTAAAGAAGCTATCACTACTACATGCTTGTTCAGTCTCTGAGGCAGGCCCTTTCACTTTGGGAGACTCCAAATTTGCCTCTTTGCAATGCCCCCTCCCTACCCTCCCATTCCATTGCTCCTAGCTCTACCCTCCTCCCTAGAATCACCTTGGAGGTACTTGAAGACAGCTGTCATATTCTGCCCACCACCTCTCCCTCCAAGACCTGTCTTTTCCAGGCTAACCATGTCCAGTTCCTTCAACTGATCCTCCTCTGGCATATACTCAAGGTCTTTCACTATCCCGGTGATGCTTTTCAGCTTCCCAATGACCCACCTTAACTAAGATCTAATCAGGGCAGAATACGATGGAATTGCCTGTCAATTTCCCTTTTCCTTAGAGCTGGACCCCTCAGTGTAGCCCAAGATCCCATTCACCCTCTTGGCTGTCTTACCGTGTTGTTGCCTCTTTAAATCTAAGACCCTCAGATTTTTTTTTTTCAGATGAGCTGCTCTCTATACTCCCCCACACACACTTTGTTCATAAGGAGTTCACTTTACAGTGAGTAGTTCACGTTCGCCAATCTTCTTGTGCCTACGTGGATGGATACAGGTATTTATTTCCTTTTCTATGTTTTCTATTTAGTATTAGCTATATATTTAAGCTTCTTAAGAACAAGGCCCATCTTTGTATCTCCAGTACCTAGCATGGCGCATTGTATACAGTAGAAGCTTAATCAATGTCTACTGAATTACTTTAAATTGCAGTGGCTTTGGGATGGGATTTAACATTCATTTAATGCTTGCAAAGGACTTTCCATACATTATCTCAATTTGATGCTCACCATAACCCTGTGAAGTAGGTGTTATTATTATTTCCATTTTACAGGGAGAGGAAACTGAGGTCCAGAGAGGCTTAGTGACTTGTCAAGATGGCAGAGCCAGGATTTAAGCCTAGGCCTTTTGGCTTCAAATCCTGCTCTTCTGCCACTGGGATATTTGTCTGACTGGCTGTCCTAGGTCTGCTTCCCAGTAAATAATGGAGCTAGGCCTTGGGAGATAACCATCTGACCTATTAACTTCTACCAGCTGTGAGCACAAGTGGAACTTGATGCCATCTGTCCCAGGCATGATGTGATCCAGTGACTCGAGTGCCACACACCATGGAAGTATAGAGCCAGGCCCACATAGCTGGGCAGGAAGCCCAGTAGAGCTAAAATGGAAACATCTGTATTGGAGAAGGCCACTCCTGGACTGGATTGACAGGTTGCTTGCCCTTCAGGGGAGGATACTTGACTTGGTAGATAGATTCTACCCCATTTCCTTCCCAATCTCAGTGGCCCAACATGTTGGGAATGTGAAGACTGAAGACAGGAGGGTGGGGAGAAGCCTCTAACCTGAAAAACCTGTAGAGATGAGGAGGTTGAGACCAGAGTAAGCTTTGATACCAATGAAACCGCATCATGTCTTGGTGACACTGGCCAGTCAAGTCACTTAGTCTTTTTGAGCCTCAGCTTTCTTAGCTGTAAAATGGGGATAAAAATTCTACCTGCAGCGATACCTCATCGGATACCAGATTCGAAGCTGGAAGGGACATCAGAGGCCTGGCCAAAGCCCCTTGTTTGATAGACTGAGGCCCAGAGAGAGGAAGTGATTTCCATTCATAGATCTAGGGCCTCCCAGGAGCAGCTTGCCTGCCATATAAGGCAATAAATGGCAGCAGCAGAATTCAAATCCACGTCCTCTGACTCTGAATCCAGAATTTTCCGAGGTAACACATCACCTCCCAGGGTCGCTGTGAGGGTCAAATGAGAGATAGTATGTTAAGTGCTTTGATCAGCTTCAAGCACTATAGAAAAACCAGCTGTTTAGCTACAGGGTTTTGTGGGGCAGGAAGGAGGTTTGGAGGAAGGCTCTGCCCATTTTGCTTCACCTCCTCATCTCCCAACACTGCCTGAAGTCACTATGAGCTCCCCAATGTAGCATGCTGGACCAGGGGGAAGCATTTTCCTGGATGAGGTAAGAGGCCAGTAAGTGGAATGGAGCTAGTACAAAGGTGTGGGCCAGTGACTGGGCCTGGAACCAAGGAGGGAAGGAAGGACCCCAAGAGTTTGGGAAAAATGCTGAGCTAATAGAGTTCAGCTAAGAGCATGCAAATTCAGCTGTGCTAAGGCTGTCCAAGTTAACACACCACGGGGGCAGCATATAATAAAATAATGGGCTGCCTATCATTCATTCAGCAAGTTATTCATTGAGCACTGGAGGTAGGGAGGCACAAGTGTGGTGGGGGGGAGGGACAAAAAGTCTCAATTCGACAAATCAGGTGCCACAAACATAAAATCTAGCCAGAACCCCACAGCACCCCATCATGCCCTCTTTGATCCAGCCAAACTGTCCTACATTGTTTAGGCCACATCCCACAGTAGATCATTGGCATGAGCCCTCACCCAGTGCCTGGCATGTGCTCAGCTCAAGTACCACCCACTCAGTGTGACTTCCTGCCCCCAAGCTGAATTCAAGTGATCACTCTGTCTCCAAATATCCCCAGAGCCTTTGGTCTGGAGCTCTCTTTTGCCCTGCTGTGTGACCCTGGGCAAGTCACTTAAGCTCAGTTTCCTCCACTTTTGAGATGGGGACAATAATAGCACCTTCCTCCCAGAGTTGTTGAGGATCAAAAGAAATAATATCTGTAACACGCCTGGCAACAAAGTAGGTGCTTCATTAACATGTGCCCTAGAAGCTTGTAAAAGGCTTCCTTCACATACCCAGTTTGAACCTCCAAGCAATCTTATGAGAATAGAAAGGTCGTTATACTATCCCCATTTTACTGATGGGAAACTGAGGCTCAGGGAGCTTTAAATCACTTGCCCAAAGTTACACAGCGATTAAATGTCTAAGGCAGGAATCACACCCAGATCTTCCTGAGTCTGGCCAGCATTCTCTCCACTCCCACCAGGCTATTCCCTGGGGACTAGCAATTTAAATGTTTGTTGAATTGGGAATGGAAACCACAGATTTTTTCCCTCAGGGGGTTTACAGTCTGGTTGTAGAGCAAGGAAACTGAGAAGTAATTGAGCAAGGTGTTATATGATTGAAGGTGAAAAGGAAATGCGCAAGTGAGGAGAGCTTTAGGAGAGCATCCTTGAATAGCAATCTGAAGGGAGGTAGGAGGCATCCAATCTGATCCCTGCATGACCAAGAATCCCTCCATGTACACCATCCCCCACCAATGCCCAGCCCCTGCTTAATGACTTCTCTTGGGCAAGAAGCATTTTCACTTTTAGATAGCTCTAAGTGTTAAGAAGTATTTCCTGACCTTCAGCCTCAGTCTGCCTTTCCCCTCCTTCTGCCCTCTGAGGCCATCCCATTGGATGGCCCTTTAAATATTGAAAGCTAGCTATCATCACTTCAACGACCAGCCATGATTCCTTCCTGAGGGAGAGGTACTGGACTCCATATGCAGAATGGTGTCACTGTCACGTGGCCATTGGGGAAGTTTGTTTTGCTTGACTCTGCTGGTTTGTTAGAAAGGCTTCGTTTTAATTTTCTTTTCTTTTTGTTAAATAAAGGTGGGAATGGAGGGTTGGAAGGGGGATAAGACAGGAGAGAGAGAGAGAGAGAGAGAGAGAGAGAGAGAGAGGAGGCAGAACCAAGATGGTGGAGTAAAGGCAGGGACTCACCTGAGCTCTCCCCCAAACTCCTCCAAAGACCTTTAAACAATGACTCTAAACCAATTCTGGAGCGGCAGAACCCACAAAAAGATGCACTGAAACAAATTTCCAGCCTAAGACAACTTAGAAGGTCAGCAGGAAAAGTCTGTCGCACCTGGGTAAGAGAGGAGCACAGGCTGAGACAGACCAGGCCCCAGCAAACCAGGAGCAGGCCTCGGGCAACTGAATGAGCAGCGGCTGCTTCTGGAGCTCTCAGCCCACAGATGGTAAGGGGCTCGGACAATGGATCAGAAGGACGTTTACAAGGGTCCCTTTGCTGGCACCAGGGGCAGGACTCTGTTGCATTGCCCATACTTGGATCTGGGTCAAAGTCCTGGGTTTTAGTCCCAGCGTGAGGAGGAGCACTAGAACAGCAGAGCTCATGGCTGCAGGGGAGCAGGGACCCTGGTCACAGTTCCAGGGCTGAAAAGACTGCTTGTGGTTGCTCACAAGCCAGTGCATGGTACAGGAGAGCAATAAACACACTTCTCTAGAACAGAGGTGGGGAACCTTCAGCCTCAACCCTTTGGTTCAATCCAAACTTCACAGAACAAATCCCCTTCATATGAAAGGATTTGTTTTGTAAAACTTGAACTCAGTCAAAAGGCTGCACCCAAGGACCTAGAAGGTCACATGTGGCCTTGAGGCCACATGTTCCCCACCTCTGCCCTAGATCATGCCACCTTGGACAGGTCCCCAGAATTACCGCTGAAAACAGCTGCACAAAAAACCTGAAGCTTGGGACAGTGCCCCCTCCACTTGGGAAGCAGAGCCCCACTTTAGCACAGAGTTAAAAGTCAAGAAATAGGCTAGGAAATGAGCAAACAACAGAAAAAATTCTGACCATAGAAAGTTACTATGGTGACAAGGAAGATCAAAACACACACTCAGAAAAAGACAACAAAGTCAAAATTCCTGCATCCAAAGCCTCAAAAAAAATTATGAATTGGTCTCAGGCCATGGAAGAGCTCAGAAAGGATTTTAAAAATCAAGTAAAAGGGGGCAGCTAGGTGGCGCAGTGGATAGAGCACCAGCCCTGGATTCAAGAGGACCTGAGTTCAAATCCAGCCTCAGACACATAACATTTATTAGCTGTGTGACCCTGGGCAAGTCACTTAACCCCATTGCCTAACCAAATTAAAAAAAAAAAATCCAGTAAGAGGTAGAGGAAAAATTGGGAAGAGTTATAGAAATTTAAAGAATCCACTGATCACCTCCTGAAAGAAATCCTAAAATGAAAACTCCCAGGAATATTATAGCCAAATTCCAGACCTCCCAGATCAAGGAGAAAAGACTGCAAGCAGCCAAAAACAAACAGTTCAGATATCAAGGAGCCACAGTCAGGATTATACAAGGAAGGAAGATCATCAAAGCATTTTTTTAAATCACAGACAAGCAGAACAGTTTTTGAAAGCTAAAGGCTCAATTTATATATACAAATATAAATATATGTCAGCTCTACATAAGAGATTTGCAGTTTCAAATACTACAATGCATAGGAAAATATACGTTTCATTTGGTGTTAAGGTTAGAAATTTTCAGAAATAAAAGCCGGCTCTCACGCCGTCCCAAACCTTATCTTCTCCAGGAGCGAACATCACTAGTTTCACAGTCGGTCCCGATGGCATGGTGTCAAGGTCCTTCAGCATCCTGATGCTGGCCAGGTTCAATGTCAACTTGACTGGAGTTTTCCATAGTTTCCCATAGCGAGTCCCATGTTTGACTTTGTATCGTTTCATATTTTTTATTGACAAAAGCACAGATTGTTTGCTCATCCAGTTTACGTGTGACACAAAGCCAGTGGGTTAGAAACCCACTGAATGACAGTCAGGATCCAAGAGGCTAGAACATTAGCCTAAAGTCTTTTTTAATGATTAATCAATCAATCAATTAATTTAGCAAGCATTTACTATCTCTCCTACTTCCTCACTGAACAATAAAAAAAGAAAAGAAATTCCCCATAACGAATATGCATAGCACAACGAAAGAAATCCCCACGTTGGTCATTTCCAAAATTGCATGTCTGGTTCTGCATCTCAAGTGTTGCCACAGTAAGGAGGTGGGGAGCATTGAGCTGACTGGAGTAAGAGGAAAGGATAAAGGGATAAAAGAAAAAAATCTCCCACTTGGGTTCCAAAACTCAACTTTAGACATGCAGGATATAGGGGGGAGGGGGAGGCCTGAGAGAGGCTTACAGAGCAGTTCGTCTGCAAAAGATCAGAGTGCGAGTGAGCTAAATATGAATCCACAGTGCAACCTGACAGCTACCCCCACCTCGACCCCTAGCCCAGGCTAATAGGATCCTGGGCAGTGGACGTGATGCTCCCAGTGTTAGACCACATGTGCATCGCTGTGCTGTTGTGGGTTCCAGGGTTTGTGAAAGACATTGAAAAGCTGGAGAACAGAGGGAGGAGTAGGACCAGGCTGAGGAAGGGCCTAAGTCCTTACGAGTAGATGAAAGACATGGGTGTGATTAGCCTGTGGGAGAGGAGACAGGGGGAACATGAGCGCATTCTCCTGAGGCTATGGGTTGAACTGCATCGCTGCTTAGGTCCCTTCCAATAGAGACTCTGACATTCTGTTTCCAACCGGGGTGGCTGGAATGCAAACCTCTGTGTGGACCTGGCCAGCTGCCTGAGCATGGGCAGCTCTGACTCCTTCCTAGCCGAGAAAGGCGACACCCCCAGCTGCCTCTGCTGTTCACATGATCTCTTTTGCACTTGTGCTACAAGGGCCAGATTTTCCCCCACACTGAGGCAGAGACCAGATGTTCAACAAATCGTTTACACTTCCCCAAAGCATTTGTTTCCTGTTCGTCACTTCTAACTTTGAAACCAATCCTCCAGGAGGCCCCAACTCCCTCCACGCTGAAGTGATTGCCCCAGAGAAACCTTTCCTCTGCATACTTTCTCTCTCCTTCTTTGGTACTGGCACCCTCCCGTGGCCAATCTTAGTGATAACACAGCACATACCGCACCTCAACCCTCCAGATGCGTGCATGCATACATGATGCCCATTTTACAGATGAGCAAGTGAGATTCCAAAAAATTAAATAAAGCCAAGGTCCCACAGCCAGTTCATGACATATACAGGTCTCCTAATTCCCAATATTGCCTTGAGTTTTGCAGTGGGTTCACATGAACTGCCTTATTTGTCTGAGTGCAGAGGGAGGAGGAGGAAGAGGACAAGGAGGAGAAAGGAAGGAAGATGAGCCTAATTTTGGAGCAAAGGAATGTTGCCAGCTGCACTGACCTGAGGTCAGAGGACCTGCCTTGGGATCCTGGTGCTGCCTGCCACTCAGATCCATCTGTTCACCCCTCTGAGAGTCATTGGCCTTGCTTGTAAAAGGCGGGCCCGTGGAGGGGCCATCTTGTCCAGCTTCCTTCTGTCATCCCGGGAGAAGGCTGAACGTCAGCCCATCAAGGCTGCCTGTGGGGGTGGAGGGGACCCCATGAAGAGAAAGAGGCGAGCTCTGGAAGGAAGTACAAGACAAACTGTCTGGGGAGGCTGGGACAAAAGGTACGCTTTCCCAGATCTGGTCTGCACCCCTTGCCTGGAACTGTTTCACTAACCCCCCCTTTCCCCCAGCCTGGAGCCCTCTTGTCTTCGCTTCCCTGTGATGTGATTGCAGGCTGGTTCCTAACCAGCCAAGCCTGAGAGGAGGTGTTTGCTGCTTCCTGTCTTGAAGAGAAAAGAATCTGCCCCAGTGGGAGCAGGCGGCTGAGAGAGTCCACAGAGCCGTGAGCTCTAGCCTGGGGAGGCTGGGCTCCCGGAGGGTCCAGAGCCAGGAGTGGGGAACCCGCGGCCTCGAGGCTACATGTGGCCCTCTAGGTCCTCAAGTGCGGCCCTTTGACTGAGTCCAAGTTTTAGGGACCCAGTACTCCCGTGAACATCAGGGATGTTGATGTGAAAGGGACACCTGGGCCTGCCTGAGGCTGCATTGGTTCATAGAATTTGCCTGACTTGCTTTGTACCAATGTGGGTAAATCACAAACATTGTGGACTTGTCTAGTTTCCTCTGCCCAGAGAGCAAGTGCTCTTTGGCCTGTTCTTTTCGAGGTCTTTGCCTGGAAATCCAGTTGTGGGGCAGGGGAGGGGGGGAGGAATACTGACCTCCCTACAATTCCATTCCTTTTCTTCTTAAAAAAAAATTAATTTTTTAAATTAACAAACATATATTTTTTCTTCCTCCCATCTCCCCATCTTCCTCCATTGGAAAAAGAAAAACAAAACCCCTGTAATCAATCTGTATATTCAAGCAAAACAAATTCCCACATTGGCCATGTTAAAAAAAATGCATGTCTCATTCTGCACCCTGATCTCTCTTTTCAGGAGGCGGGTGGCATGTTTCATCATCAGCCTCATTCTTTTATTGATCAGAGTTTTTAAGCCTATCAAAGCTGTTTTTCTTTATGATGTTGTTAGAGCATAAATTATTTTCCGGGTTTTGCTCATTTCATTGTATGTCATTTCATACAAGCCTTCTCAGATTTTACTTTTGTCATTTCTTAGAGCACTATAGCATTCCATTACATTTATATACCAGAATTTGTTCAGACAATCCTCAATTGATGAGAAAGCACCTTCTTACTTTCCAGTTATTTGTCACTACAAAAAGAGCTGTTAGAGTGTTTTTTGGTACTTTTGGGAACTTTTCCTCTTTCTTGGATCTCTGTAGGGTATAGGACTACTAGCAGTATAGCTGAGGCAAAGGGTATGCACAATTTAGTGCCTTTGGGGGCATAGTTCCAAACTGCTTTCCAGAATGACACCTCCACCAACATTGTATCAATGTACCTGTTTTCCCACAGTTCCTCCAACATTTCTTCTTTTCCTTTCTTGTCAAATTTGTCAATCTGATGCGTGTGAGGTAGAAAAGTCAGTTACTTTTATTTGTATTTCTCTAATAACTAGTGACAGAGCATTTTTTCATATAACTATTGAAAGCTTGGATTTCTTCCTTTAAAAACTACCTGCTTATATCCTTTGACCATTTATCCATTGGGAAATGGCTCACCTTCATATAAGTTTGAATCCATTCCTCATATATCTTAGAAATGAGACCTTTATCAGAGAACCGCACAGCAAAATTCCACACCCAACTAGTTTCCTCTCTAATTTTAATTGTATTAGATTTGGCTGGTGTAAAATAATGTTTTTTAACTTTATGTTATCAAAATTGTCCATTTCACGTTTTGTGATCCTCTGTCACTTGTGTATTTATGAACTCTTACCCTGTTCATAGGTTGGAAAGGTTTATTATTTCCTGGTTCCTCTAATTTGCTTATGATGTCAACTTTTATGATTAAGTTGTACATCTATTTAGAGTTTATCTTGGTAAAATCGCGTAGGATATTGGTCTATGCCTAATTTCTGCCAAACTGCCAGCCAGTATTTCCAGTTTTTGTCAAATTCTGAGTCATTCTCCTTTTACTGGAGCCTTTGAATTTACCAAACATTATAGTTCTTAGTATTCATTGCCTCTGTATGTTCCACTGATTGACCTCTTTATTTTGTGATCAGTATTAAATTATTTTGATGATTATTGCTTTGTAGTATAGTTGAACGTATGAAATTGCCAAGCCTCCTTCCTTCTTCTTTTTTTTTTCATTATTTCCCTTCGAGACTTGACCTTATTTGCCTTCAGATTAATTTTGTTGTTATTTTTTTCTACTTCTCTAAAGTGATCCTTCATTAGTTTGGCATGGCACTGAATAAATTAATTTAGGTAGCAACATTTTTATTATATTGGTTTGATCTACCCATGAGTAATTGATACTTCTCCAACTATTCAGGTCGGCCTTTATTTCTGCCAGAAATGTTTCATAGTTGGAGCCACACAGTGCGTGTATGAGTCTTGGTAGGTAGACTCACAAGTATTTTATACCTTCTCTAATTATTTTGAAAGAAATTTCTCTTTCCATCTTTTCCATCTCTTTCCATCTCTTCCCACTGGGTTTTGTTGGTAATATACAGAAACACTGATGAGTTGTGTGGATTTATTTTATTTATCCTCAGCTTTGCTAAAGTTGTTAACTATTTCAATTAATTTTTGGTTGACTCTAGGGTTTCTAAGTAAATCTTGATCATCATCTACTAAAAAAGTGATCATTTTATTTCTTCTTTGCTTATACTATCCTTTCAACTTCTTTTTCATGTCTTATTGACACAGCTAGCATTTCTAGCACTATATTAAGCAATAGTGGTGATAGTTGGCATCCTTGCTTCAACTCTTATTTTATTATATTCTTCATTGCACATATTTGCTCTTGGTGTTAGATAGAGCTTATTTACTATAGCAAAGAAAGGTTTGTTTATTCCTGTGGTTTTTAGTGTGTGTGTTTGTGTGTGTTAACAGAAATGGGTGGAGGATTTTACCAAAAGCCTTTTCAGCATCTATTAATTTAATCCTGTGGTTTTATTATTTATCCTGTTTATAGACTTCTTTATGTTGAACCAACCCTGCATTCCTGGTATAAATCCAACCTATGCATAGGGTAGAATCTCTCTAAGATGTGATTATAGCCTATTTGCTACTATTTCATTTAAAATTTTTGTATTGCTCTTTTTGTGGTAGCAAAGAATTGGAAATTGAAGGAATGCCCATCAATTGGGGAATGGCTGAACAAGGTGTGGCATGTGATAGTGATAGAATACTACTGTGCTGTAAGAAATGATGAACAGGATGGTCTCAGAAAAAAACTGGGAAGACTTACATGAACTGATGCGGAGTAAAGTGAGCGAAACCAGAAGAACACTGTATACCGTAACAGCAACATTGTGTGATGATCAACTATGACTGACTTAGCTCTTTTCAGCAATACAATGATCTAAGACAATTCCAAAAGACTCATGGTGGAAAATGCTATCCACATCCAGAGAAAGAACTATGGAGTCCAAATGTAGATCAAAGCATCCTGTTTATGCTTTTTAAAATTTTGTGTGGTTTTTCCCTATTGTTCTATTTCTTCTTTTCACAGTATGACTAATGTGGAAATAATGTTTAACATGATTGAACATGTATACCTATATCAGATTGCTTGCCCTCTTGGGGAGGGGGGATGGGAGGAAGGGAGGGAGAAAAAATTTGGAATTCAAAATCTTATAAAAAATGAATGTTGAAAACTATCTTTATGTGTAATTGAAAAAACTGAAATACTATTTACAAAAAAACCTTTTGCATCAATGTTCATTAGAGATATATATTTATAATTGTCCTTTTCTCCTTCACCTTTCCCTTATATAGATATCAAGAGCATATTTGTATCATAGAAAGAGATCTGAAGGGCGCTTTCCCCCTCTATTATTGCAAACCGTTTCTGTCATGTTGGAATTAATTGGTTTTTGAATGTTTGATAAAATTCACTTATAAATCCATCTGGTTCTAGAATATTTCCTTTGAGAGTTCATTTATAGCTTATCCAGTTTCTTTTTCTGATATTAAATTCTCTATTATTTTTGATTAATCTGAGTATTTTTTTTTATTTTTGGTGAGGCAATTGGGGTTAAGTGACTTGCCCAGGGTCACACAGCTAGTAAGTGTTAAGTGTCTGATGTTGGATTTGAACTCAGGTCTTCCTGACTCCAAGGCCAGAGCTCTATTCACTGCGCCACCTAGCTGCCCCATGAGTATTTTATATTTTGTAAGTATTCACCATTGCCTCTAAATTATCAGGTGATTTTTAGTATATAATTGGGCAAAAGTTTCCAATAATTTCCTTTGTTTCTGCTACAGTTGTTGTGGGTTCATCTGCTTCTGTATATTGTATCCCTAATTTGTTCCACTGATTGACTTCTCTACTTTTTAATTAGTACAGATCATTTTAAAGATCACTGCTTTGTTGTATAGTTGGAGATGTGGAATTGCCAGGCCCCCCTCCTTCCTACCTTTTTTTTCATTGTTTCCCTTGAGGTTTTTGACATTTTGTGCCTCCAGATAAATTTCATTATTATGTTAACAGCTCTATAAAATAATATTTTTTATTTGATTGGTATGACACTGAGTATATTAATGTAGGTAGTATTGTCATTTTCATCATATTGACTTCTTGTTTTAAACAACAACAACATTGACTTAGCCTACCCATGAACTACTCGTTTTTCTTTAATTAAGTCTGTCTTTATTTCTGCAAAAAGGAGTCATAATTGCATTCGTCTAGTTCCTCTGTGTTCTGTGGTAGGTAGACTCCCCAGTGTTTTATACCTCTTGTAGTCATTTTGAATGGAATTTCTCTTTCTGCCTCTTCCTGCTGATGGTTTATATAGCTGTATTTTGTAGCCTACAAATTTATTGAAGTTATTAACTGTTTCAATTAATCTTTAGTTGATTCTCTAGAGCCCAACTCTATCTGAAATCATCCCTTTCATCATTTCTTACAATGCAATAGTACTCGATTACTTCATTCATATTCCATAATTTGCTCAGCCATTCCTGAATAGATGGGCACCCCCTTAGTTTTCTTTTCTTTTCTTTTTTTATGCCACATTCAAAAAGAGCTGCTACAAGTATATTTGTATAC